CAGGGGATTCGTACCTTGGAGTGCTTCCCGGAGGGGGGGGGGGGGGGGGGGGGGGGGTTTAAAAAGTTTCTTGTAGGTTTCAGCTGTGATGTTAAAGATGGCCGACCCAAAACGATGAGCCAATCATGTTTCAGTGTTAAGGCTGATTTCTGCTCAGAAAACAGCTGCTCTGCATGTGGCAGTTAGCGCAGACTGCAGGTGACTGCAGACAGGAGGCCTCTGATTGGTCAGATCTCCATCCGCTCCACTCTATGCGTATTTCCTGTTTGGTTCCTTACCGGCTTGTTTTGTTTGTCTGACCTCCATTGTGGAAAACGTCTGGTGAAGACGGAGCAGCTAGCTGATGCTACCACAGCGGTACTTAGTCCATCTAGTCTCTTATTACTACACTAAAGCTAATCATTGGTAGGCGGGAACAAGGTGTCGCCCAATCAGCTGGAAGATTTAGGCTCTTTTACTGTTTATCATTTTTTTATCACTTGAGATGGTTGAATGTTACTTGCATGATGATTTTTAATGTAGTTTTATATTTCTGATAGTTATAAGGATTGGCTCCACCTGCATGGCTTAGAACCTCATCTTTCCTCACCAGCTGCTGTCAAACTGCCAGGGTTAGGTTTGCTAAGTGAAACAGGGAGGATTGAACCAGTCTGGTGGCTGCTGTCCTTTCATCATAATAATCTTTGTAGATCAACCACGGCGCCCAGATTATTGGCTGTGCTCCTTTATTGGTGTCTGGGAGGAGCTGCAGTGTTTAAACCAACAGCAGCTCTGGTTTCATGAATCTCTCAGTGAACTGGATCAGCTGGTGGATCACAGATTAAACTCCTCTGGAAACCAATGATAACAGCACAACCGCAGCTCTGCAATAAACCAGTAAATGATGCCGTTTAAAATAGTTTAAGCCAGGATCTGATTTGAATTCTTTGTTCTTCTCATGGTTTGGAGCAGAAAGAGGTGATGTTCAATTAGCCAAAAATCATCTCATTTCCTGATGGTTTGCTTTGAGCTGATTGCAAATAAAATTTATGATATATAGATCTATTATTTTTAATTGATCCTTTTCTTGTTTTCTGTTCAACATGTAAAACATTTGTTTTACCTCAATAAGGACCTTTTACTCCATATTGTTGGATTATCTGTCTTTTACAGCTGTTTTATTTTCATCGGTTTTATCGTTGTATATTTATTTATAAAGTGTGTAAAGGTGGACCCTCTGCTAGGCGTGTGCAGAGAAACATGGCGGCTGTGTGGTCTTCCTCCTGACCTCGGTCAGTCTACACTAGTGAGACGTTGAAAGGTGCAACACCTGGGATGTGAAGTCATGTTGTGCTTTGCTGTGTTCCTATGATCAGGTGTTAACGGCTCCATCGTTCCTCCTCATCGTCCCATTGGTCCATATGATGTTTATCCTCATCGTCCCATTGGTCCATATGATGTTTATGCTAACTGCTAGCAGATAACAATCTCTACCCAGAGGTTTGGAAAACAAATAACGTGTTGGTCATGGATTGTCTGAAATGATGTAACATTGTTGTAACAGCCTGGATATACTTTACATGTAAAATACACATTTATAACTGTTAACATTGCTGTTGTACATAAACTGTATCTCAATTAAAAACTGTTAAATCGTTTTGTCTTTCTGTAAATATGAAATTATTTCAGAAACAGGAAGGGGAGGGGTCTTATGTTAACTCTGTATATTTACAACAACTTCGTAACATATATGAGTTTATTAAAGGTTACAATTTAAACAATAATTAAACTAAAGAAACTCAACTAAGCTGAGATTCTGTGTAAAATAAACAGAAAACAGCATCAGTTATGCAATGGTCACAGGTGGGAACCCATATTTAATGTTTCAGAACCAAAGTTTATATTTAACAGTTTGGATTAAAGTAAAAGTTTAATTAATTTAGAGTGCAAGAAAACCTCTTCTTTTTGTAACTTTGTATCGTCCACCAGGTCCTTACTCTGAATTTTTAGATGAGTTTTCAGAGTTCCTTTCTGATTTGGTATTAAATACTGACAGGGTCATCATAGTGGGAGATTTTAACATCCATGCTGACATTGAAGGCGATAGCTTAAGAGCAGCCTTTAATGCTATCTTAGACACTATTGGCTTTGTTCAAAATGTGAATAGTCCCACGCATTCTCATCTTCATACTTTGGATCTTGTGCTGACATACAGCATAGAATGTGAAGAAATAACAGTATTCCTTCATACAGCCCCCCCCCCCCCCCTTAAGACAGTTCAGTTTTAGCAGATCTTTATCAGATAGTGCAGTTATAAATTTTAAAGAATCTGCTTTACTTTCTCTCTCCTCTGTGTCGCTGAGCAGTGCTGCAGTTGCTAGTTCTCTGCAGATGATATCTAATATTTTTTTTATTTTATATACTCTAGTAATCCCAGAGGGAAATTACTTCAAAATTTTTACTTCTAACCAAATAGTATGATGATCTTTTATCTCAGGGACTATGAAGGACTAACTCTGCCATATCTAAAAATAAATACAGAAATAAATAAATGCTCAATAAATGTATAAGCATACAATTAATTTCCAACAAAAAAGTGAGACATAAATGTATATAACTCTTAATTAGCTTCTTTATTTATTTGCCTTTGTAATATTTACCTTATTTATTTTTCTGTCCTTTATAATCTTCAACTTTATTTTTTAATTACTTATATTTTTAAGTATTTATTTATGTGCATGTTATAATATTTTTACCCGTTTTATTCTTCCTTTGTATTTTTTTACCTTAGTTATTTCTCTCTGCCCTTTTTACATTTCTGTCTGCCCTTTTTACATTTCTGTCTGCCCTTTTTACATTTCTCTCTGCCCTTTTTACATTTCTCTATGCCCTTTTTACATTTCTCTCTGCCCTTTTTACATTTCTCTATGCCCTTTTTACATTTCTCTCTGCCCTTTTTACATTTCTGTCTGGCCTTTTTACATTTCTCTCTGCCCTTTTTACATTTCTGTCTGCCCTTTTTACATTTCTCTCTGCCCTTTTTACATTTCTCTCTGCCCTTTTTACATTTCTGTCTGCCCTTTTTACATTTCTCTATGCCCTTTTTACATTTCTCTCTGCCCTTTTTACATTTCTGTCTGTCCTTTTCACATTTCTCTCTGCCCTTTTTACATTTCTCTATGCCCTTTTTACATTTCTCTCTGCCCTTTTTTCATTTCTCTATGCCCTTTTTACATTTCTCTCTGCCCTTTTTACATTTCTCTCTGCCCTTTTTACATTTCTGTCTGCCCTTTTTACATTTCTCTCTGCCCTTTTTACATTTCTCTCTGCCCTTTTTACATTTCTCTCTGCCCTTTTTACATTTCTGTCTGCCCTATTTACATTTCTCTATGCCCTTTTTACATTTCTCTATGCCCTTTTTACATTTCTCTATGCCCTTTTTACATTTCTGTCTTCCCTTTTTACATTTCTCTATGCCCTTTTTACATTTCTATCTGCCCTTTTTACATTTCTCTATGCCCTTTTTACATTTCTCTATGCCCTTTTTACATTTCTCTCTGCCCTTTTTACATTTCTCTATGCCCTTTTTACATTTCTCTCTGCCCTTTTTACATTTCTCTATGCCCTTTTTACATTTCTGTCTGCCCTTTTTACATTTCTCTATGCCCTTTTTACATTTCTCTATGCCCTTTTTACATTTCTCTATGCCCTTTTTACATTTCTCTCTGCCCTTTTTACATTTCTCTATGCCCTTTTTACATTTCTCTCTGCCCTTTTTACATTTCTCTCTGCCCTTTTTACATTTCTGTCTGCCCTTTTTACATTTCTCTCTGCCCTTTTTACATTTCTCTCTGCCCTTTTTACATTTCTGTCTGCCCTATTTACATTTCTCTATGCCCTTTTTACATTTCTCTATGCCCTTTTTACATTTCTCTATGCCCTTTTTACATTTCTGTCTGTCCTTTTTACATTTCTCTATGCCCTTTTTACATTTTTATCTGCCCTTTTTACATTTCTCTATGCCCTTTTTACATTTCCCTATGCCCTTTTTACATTTCTGTCTGCCCTTTTTACATTTCTCTCTGCCCTTTTTACATTTCTCTCTGCCCTTTTTACATTTCTCTATGCCCTTTTTACATTTCTCTCTGCCCTTTTTACATTTCTGTCTGCCCTTTTTACATTTCTCTCTGCCCTTTTTACATTTCTCTCTGCCCTTTTTACATTTCTCTCTGCCCTTTTTACATTTCTCTCTGCCCTTTTTACATTTCTCTCTGCCCTTTTTACATTTCTCTATGCCCTTTTTACATTTCTGTCTGCCCTTTTTACATTTCTCTATGCCCTTTTTACATTTCTCTCTGCCCTTTTTACATTTCTCTATGCCCTTTTTACATTTCTCTCTGCCCTTTTTACATTTCTCTATGCCCTTTTTACATTTCTCTCTGCCCTTTTTACATTTCTCTCTGCCCTTTTTACATTTCTGTCTGCCCTTTTTACATTTCTGTCTGCCCTTTTTACATTTCTCTCTGCCCTTTTTACATTTCTGTCTGCCCTATTTACATTTCTCTATGCCCTTTTTACATTTCTCTATGCCCTTTTTACATTTCTCTATGCCCTTTTTACATTTCTGTCTGCCCTTTTTACATTTCTCTATGCTCTTTTTAAATTTCTTTCTGCCCTTTTTACATTTCTCTATGCCCTTTTTACATTTCTCTATGCCCTTTTTACATTTCTGTCTGCCCTTTTTACATTTCTCTATGCCCTTTTTACATTTCTCTCTGCCCTTTTTACATTTCGCTCTGCCCTTTTTACATTTCTCTCTGCCCTTTTTACATTTCTATCTGCCCTTTTTACATTTCTCTATGCCCTTTTTACATTTCTCTATGCCCTTTTTACATTTCTCTATGCCCTTTTTACATTTCTCTATGCCCTTTTTACATTTCTCTCTGCCCTTTTTACATTTCTCTCTGCCCTTTTTACATTTCTCTATGCCCTTTTTACATTTCTCTCTGCTCTTTTTACAT